GTATATCCAAACTAGATGTATATGTAATTTATTCTACTACTTCATTCTCGATTTACCCAAGGAAATAAGACTTCTTTAATAATTTTCATTCAGAAAATTGTTTTTCATTTTCAGCTTGTGTTAATGACATAACCAATGCAGCATAGATAGACCTTTGCTTTCGTACAATCTCATTTCTGAGGCAGATATTGATTAATTAAGCAGTGCAACACTACTGCTGCCAACTATCTTCTCCCACTTTAAGTGGGCATATATTCTATGAGCTAAAGAAAATCTGTGTTGCTCTTTCAGGCACACTCAAAGGGCATAAAGAGGTGCACAGGGGCCTAAGCAAAGACAGGATGTAGTCTTTGATATTCGTAGTGAAACAATTTTGAAAGGCAAAACCTCATTAAGAAATGCCACAAAGGCATGATTTAACTGTTTTCGCAAGCCATACTACCTCAGATCAAAGGCGGCCTAGCCTTTTGAGGTTGGCTTGTCAAACTGAATTTAAAAGTGGCTTTTCAGATTATTTATCAAAGGTTTTGCAACCGTAGCGTATAAAATAGCACTGAGGTAGATGCTTTTCATTGAGTCGGTCACAATTTATTCTGATCTCTTTAAGCCTCCGTTGTAGTTTCTAGCCATCTTTATCTGAAAACATGTTTTAGGAATCTCTGCCCACTCTAATACTGAAAAGATGTGACCATAGCTGGAAATGCCAGATTTCCAGTTTGAATGACATTGAGCTTGGTCTAAATTCATGCCTATTCACTATGTCAGAATAATCTGGGAAACAGAAATCCGCAGTATCTCCTCAGGGAAAACTTTCATTGTGATCAGTGGAAATAAAAGTATTCACTGTTTAATACTCTCTTTTCCTTGTTGATCTTTCACCCGTAAACTAGCTACCAAGAAAGCAAGCTATTCAGGAAATAAATATTTTCAAAGATTTTGGATAGACTTATGGTGGGATTGAGGACATACTTATTTTCCAAGTTTTATTTTAAATAAATAATGTTGAAAATAAAATTCTTACAATACTGAAAGTACTCAAAAGCTACTAAGAAATATAAAATCTACATGAAGGCTAAAAATTCCAGGAGCCTGAGAGAAGGAAAAAAATGAACTATGTCTGTGATGCAAATGAGAACTTTTCAGGATGATATATATGGTACATGGCAGACATACAGTAAAAGAACAGTTAGAAGTAGTACACATAGTTTTTGCTAAAGGAAAAGCTGCTGAGATAATTATGTGAAATAGCAAGGTGAAAATACGAAACAAGGGAAAAAATGAGGAACTTCACTAAGTTGAGAGTCATTGGATTATCTGACATCTCTGAATTCTGCAAGTACTAGCACATGAAATTGAAAGTCTTTTCACATGTATCATCAACAAATCCATCAAATCAAAAGCACCTAGTGCCAAAAACCAATCAAAACATAGCCCTGGAAAACATGGCTAAGATTGACCTTAATAATACCAGACTTTCAGATATGTTATTTAAAGAAATATATTATACTTTTCCAGAGACCAGATACAAATATCAATATATAAATATAATAAATACAGAGAACTCACCTCTCAACAGTTGCTGAGAAAGACTAAGCTGCAAAAAGGGATATATTCTAAGTCATATTATAAAATAGAACCACTAAGAAGCACTAAGGACCAAGTAATATTGCTAAGTATCTTTGGATGTATGCATTGAAATTATGTTTCAAGAGAACTAGAGCAAGGGAAGAAATTAGAAAAAAAAGTCATAAATAATTACATGATTGTGGTAAGTTCTGAAGAAAAAAGTAAAATAGCAGTGCAGATGGCTGAACACCAGGTAGATAACTTCTCTTGGAAGACTTTGTAACCAATAAAACGAAATGGAGTTATTAACATTGTATAAGACCTAGGTACTTTAAAGTGTAGTTTTGAGCTAAAGAAAAGAGGTCAGAGCAAACGTCCCCCTATCCAGCAGAGTTAGGGTGCAATATATACACATTTATATATAGCTATTATTATTATTATTATTATTATTTAGCTAGCTTTAGTCTCATTACTTGCTTAATAGTAGTTGTTATTAATAACAACTTTAGCTTGTTGAGCTTACATTCTTTGGCTAAGAAAGTACAATTTTACCATTTGTGAAGAAAGAAGGAAAACAGCAATAATCCATCACAGCATCCATAGAACTATCTCAAACTTTCAGCACTCATTGCAGAGTGGGTCTACAGGCTAAGGAGAATGGCTGTGGCTTAGTGACCTGTCCCTTTACTGGTGTTTCAGAAATGCTAGATATTCTGCTTTTACTTATAGTTTGATAACTCTGCTAATTGAAACAGAGGAATGAAAAATAGAATGCTTTGCTTTCAGTGCGGAAATGTCAGCTTATAGACTTATTTCAGTGAAAAAAGAGTGAAATGAAAAGAACTTTCATGACAGAAGAAAGAAGAAATGAATGAGTAGATATTCCGACTTGGGAAATGCATGCTTGCTCTCAACAGCCTCCACAGAAGTGTTGGTGCTGTGCAATTTTGAAAACTCTATGAAATATTTAGTTGCCCAAATGCTGAATTAGAAGTCCAATGGGAAATCTTGGGCCCAAGAATGTTCAGCTTAATTTTTAGAGCTCAATCTACATGCAATTGTCTACAACCTACTTTTGCCTACTTTACCTCCAGACCTCATTCTAGTAAGGCATGTATCTCTTGTGTATCTTTGTCATACCTGCCAAGCTCAGGTGAATTTCACAGTACCCTGGGACAGCATTTGATCCCTGCCTTCCACAGCTAAACCAAATCCTAGATGTCTTCTGAGAGCTAGACAGCTAATATCCACCTAGGTGTAAATGCCTGCATTTAAACACAGTTGAGTCAAGGGTGTGTAGTTTATTGAGTGCCATACTACAGTTTTCTTTTTTCTCTCTGCCTGCTGCAGAAGTAGTACAGAAGCAGAGGTACTGTTTGAAGTAGAAGTAGTAGTCAACTGAATTATTCTCTAGGCTCGTTTGTTATACTGACCACTCTGATAAGAACTGTGCTATAGTATGGGTAGCTACCCACATCTTAACATTTAAATGTAGGTGTCTTAACCTACATTTGTATCTCACCAGTAGGTATCAGAAAACTGTGTACTAAAGTAAATGTCTTAAGCTTGCATTTAAAGAGATAGTTGTGAAAGAGCCTGTTTTCTTTAAGATCCTATCTCACACAGTGGAGCCATGGCCCCTCCTGACTCTTTTTGTTAGAATGCAAATATGCAGTATCAAAATGTTCCAAGGCTACTGTGATATATGTAGTGTTATCATTATACTTCCTTATTCATCAGCACCTATGCCAAGGAAACATAATGGCAAATGTACATTTAAGTAGCTCTGAATTCATGGAACATTTAGGATAGTAAAAGCCTCCAAATGAATAATGGCTTCATGCAGGGAGCTTTTGCATCCTAAATTGCTCAATAGCTGTGCTTTAAAATAGCCTGCATTGCTATTAGTTATTCTCCAGGCACTGTAGAAAAGGCAGCAGACTGCAAAAGGACTCATATAAGGAATGAATGCAGTATGGTAGTAGTTGGAAAGAGTAGAGAGAACTATTTCCTCCTGGGAACCTTTGTAAAGGGAGAAAGGAAACAATTTTCCTGCCTTCAGATAGTTACAAATGCAATCGAATTTTTGTTAGACCATATTTTTATACTTTTAAAACATTTTCAGAACTTTTCCTGACCTTGCCTACATAATTCAGCCCTTATAATATGTTCCGATGAAGAAAATCAATATGCAAGGCCTGTGGGTGTCATTTTCCTTACTTGCTGAATACATATTTTAATGTTAGCATAGGTAAAAAAAATCTTCAACTTAACATAGATCTTGCAAAAACAAAGTCTGCTCTGAACTGCATATTTAATCTCTAATATATGGCGACTATGAATCCTTATTATATGGCAAGTGTAAAATTCATTCTGGACGTAAGCCTCCTATTGCAAGTACAGGAAATGGCTGAATACTAGATCAAAGACAGAATATAGTTTTGCTTATGGGCTTCTTATTTAGCATACAGAACTTTTGCAATATTTATTGATTTATTTATCTTATTTAAGAGATATGTATTAGGCTTTTTTGAATTATTAAGTATTAAGGAATTATAAAAGGTAGCATATTAAAGTTAAAGACAGCAGTAGTTAAACCAGATCTCACTACTTAGATGAATAATAAAATCAGAGAGAAACTATATCATCACCGGATTTGAGATTTTTTCTTATTATTATTTTGTCTGATAAGAATTATCATCTACTGTATTTTGGATGTTCTGTAAGTGTAAATTGATAAAATAGTATTTATTGACAGTTTCAGGAATATATAAGACAGCAGTTTAGAAATATAGATTTTGTAGTCATATTATTATTATTGAAGTTGAGTGCCAATTTAGCAACTTTTATAAGTATCTTTTGTAAATTAAAATATGTAAATTGTATTAATATAAAGATTTGTGGATTTTTTTGCACGACATATAAATAAAAACAATAATTGTCCTTTTCAGAACTATTATTTCTTGATAGCAATATACTATTGCTGTTTTAATAACTTTCTATGGATACTTTACTATCCTTTTCTGCTTGGGCATTGTCTTTGAACAGGATTGTTTTTTAAGAATCTGTTTGCAATACAAAATTATTCATCAGATAACAAGCAAATATAGTTCAGCCTCTAGACTATATGCGACTAATTTGCCAAAACTATTGTTTCAAATATTTACTCTTAATTTTACCATTCATGCATTGTAATTTTTCTTCAAAACTAGGTAATGCTGCTTTCCACCAAGTAGGGCAAAACACTAAGTAGAACGTGAATTGGCTAATGGCATTAAAAACACATGAAAATATAAGATTCATGAGTTTGAGAGATTATTTTCTTTTTTATTGTTGTTGTTGCAGATGATAGATGGAAAAACAGATACTCATTCTTATTTCTACATTTTTGAGATTTTTTTTTATTGATGTTTTTATTTTGTGGGTTTTCTTAGGTTATATTCAGTTGGAGGTCGGGATGGAAGTTCCTGCTTGAGTTCAATGGAGTATTATGATCCTCACACAAATAAATGGAATATGTGTGCTCCAATGTGCAAGAGAAGAGGAGGTGTAGGAGTCGCTACATGTGATGGATTTCTTTATGCAGTTGGAGGCCATGATGCTCCTGCTTCTAACCATTGCTCCCGCCTCCTGGACTATGTAGAAAGGTATTCAATTAGTGTTTAATGATACAAGCATTTTTTTGGTGGGGGGCGGGGAGGAATGGGATACCAGACGAAATCCAAAGTGTGATTTTCTCAGTGAAATTATGGTGAAATCAAACTGATGCTTGCTAGTGAATGGCAATGAATGAAATACCTATTTCCTACATACTTGAAAAATTCCATAGATATTTCTAGAAAAAAAAATGGAGATTATTTTCTTTTCTACTTTTTCACATTATTATTATATTATATCGTATTATATTGTATGATATAATATATTATCATTGCACAATCTTTTCATGTCTCCTCTAAGAAGACAGTAGACCTTGCAGAGCCATAAGCTAAATAATTGCAGAGAAAAAAAAAATCAGCATTGAAACAATTTTATAATACCAAGTTTTGTTTAAATGTTTTTAGCAGATTTTAAATTTTAGCTGAGCAAGGAAGAAAAATATAAGTGCGTATGTCATATGCATTTTCAGGACATTACAGTAGACATTACTTCAGACATTACTTCATTCAGTAGCAGTACCCTGAATTTTGTATATTCTGTAAATCAGGAATGTTTTTTTTTACGCAGTTGGAGTCATTATAATGGGCAATTTGAGGATGCTATTCAAACTTTTCTTGAAGGTTGGGCTTACTGCTTTTGAGGGGTTTACAGGCTTTAAAACACAAGAAAAAGGAATATATCTCCAAATACGTACAGATCGCAAAGTTAAAAGTATTAAAAAGAAAAACAAAAGAAATCTAGACATGCAATAGAAGTTAGGCACTGGGACTGAATGATTACTGGAGCAATCAAACTTTTATTAAATGGTAATTGTAGCTTCTGATGAATTTTGTTTTAGCATTTACCACTGTCCCAACATATAATCCTTAAGTTATGAATTAAAATTTGAAAGCTTTTAGTCTCCTAGCTATTTTGTTTAGATTCTTTCCCCTCTCCCAACCAAAGTAAGTTGCAAAACAGATCACAGATTGCAAAATAATTTAAATTTCCATGTCTCCAACCAATGAAAGTTCATCAGATCTGTCATCTTGGGAAATAAATATTCATATTAAGACTACTAATGGCAGAAATTCTGAGATAGAAATCTTCCAAACTACTGCTACTGCTTACTAGTACTTATAAGAAACCCTTTTTCTTTCCCATTGTTGTGTCTGAGAAGAAAACTCTTTTTGTGGCAGACACCATTTTTGTACTTCTTAAGAGAATTGTAACATGCAGTTAAACTTTATGGGCTTATTTTATGTAATAGCATATGAATGTCAGTGTACACAGCATTTCTCAAGTAGTTATTTGTGCACTGACAGCAAAAAAAGGCGATATATATGGTCAATGAGCAGCTGGCTTTCAGAGTAAAAAAATGAAGCTAAAAAATCAGAACTTGTAAGCCTATTAGTTCGCCTAGGGTAGGTGAAAATTAAATCATGGAATCCATTAAGACACGAACAGTCTCTTATAGCCCTCCCAGTGTTAGGAATATAAGGTTGCTTGGCTGTGATTTAGCATGACTATTTTTATATTCAAAAATAATAGCTTATTTTTGCAAAAATAAAAACACCATAATGACTTAGAAACCAAGGACTAATAGATATTAGCAAAGTCCATTATTTTAAGTTTTTTTAGACAACTCTGAATCATAGAATCATAGAATCATTATTTTTGGAAAAGACTTTAAGATCGAGTCCAACCATAAACCCTTCAACATCATGCCTGCTAAACCCTGTCCTAAGAAGTGCCTCATCAACACATTTCTTGAACCCTTCCAGGGATGGGAACTCTACCACTTCCCTGGGCAGCCTGTTCCAATGATTCATAGAATCATAGAATCATAGAATGCTTAAGGTTGGAAGGGACCTCAAGAGGTCATCTAGTCCAACTCCCTGCACACGCAGGGTCACCTAGAGCATGTGACACAGGACTGCATCCAAGCGGGTTTTGAAGATCTCCAGAGAAGGAGACTCCACAACCTCTCTGGGCAGCCTGTTCCAGGGCACTGTCACCCTCACTGTTAAAATTTTTTTTCTTAAGTTCCTGTGGAACTTTTGGTGTTTCAGTTTGAGGCCATTACCTCTACTTCTGTCGGCGGCCACCACTGGAAAGAGGCCAGCACCATCCTCCTCACTGCCTCCCTTGAGGTACTTATAGACACTGATCAGATCCCCTCTCAACCTTCTCTTCTCCAGGCTGAACAGGCCCAGGTCCCTCAGCCTCTCCTCGTAGGGCAGATGTTCCATGCCCCTGATCATCCTTGTGGCCCTGCGCTGGACTCTCTCCAGCAGCTCCACATCCCTCTTGTACTGTGGAGCCCAGAACTGGACACAATACTCCAGATGCGGCCTCATCAGGGCTGAGTAGAGGG